GTTAACTGCATCTGCATCTTCTTTAGGGTATCCTATATCATTTATAACAAAGTTATAATAAGAGAATCTATGTTCTTTTTTTTAGGGATTATAGAATGTAAATATCCTTTATTGACTGAATCTTGACTATCGACAGGATCAGCTAAGTTTGTATCTCTTCTGTTTTTAAAATCGTAAACTTCATTATTAACTTGTTAAGTATTTGACAGCTTTGAAAGTAAATAATCTTTGGTGACGGAATCAGAGTTTTCTATTGGTTCACCAACATTTGTGATTCTATAAAACTTGGCATTATAAAAATTGTTTTTAAGTTGTAAGCTCAATAATGTTTCACTTTTTAAAGTTTTCAAATTTATTGCATCATTATCATCTTCTGAATCTTTTACAAACTTCAATCGTTTGCTGCTTATGTTATAATCTCCTTCAGCTGTTAATGGTAAACTATATCTTATACCATTGGATTTTGGCTATTCTCCAAAATTGGAATACCTTCCAAACTTGTCCACGCTCATGATTCAACTAAGTTCCCTCTATTCTTGTCCTCCTTTTATATGCGATGATTAAGCAATAATTCTTCGATTTCGTAGTTCATCGATTAAAGCTACCCATCCATTGTCCAATCCGGTATGACCGGCTTCCATGGCTTCATGTAATAATCTCATTCGATCAACCAGCTTATTGTCATCATTATAATACATTATGTTGGTATTGTATAGGCTTTTTAATAATCCTTTCCCTGAAGATGTAGGTTCGTTGGTTCTTGGTATTTTGTGTAAAACATTTAATTCAGCTGTAGATATAGCTCTTTTTTTAAGTTGAGATTTTTTAACTATTTGAAGATTAGTAGATCCTTCTTCTTGACCTGCGGAAAATCCTTCCTTTTCTCTTGGATCTTCAGTTTCTTCTGTTTCTTCATTTTGTTCGCTCTCACCACTTTCTTCAGTTGATTGAAATTGTTTGTATAGTTCATAATCTCTTGATTCTTTTTCATACTTAGAAATCGGTAGAATAGGATCTCCTTCGAAAGGTTTTTCAATATTCTTAACTAATCTGTTTAAAGGATCAGTAACGGGTTTAAATGTTGATTCAATAAACTTTTCTCTTTCGCTTATACCTAACTTCAGAGCTCTGTTTTTATGTCTAATAGAATCACTAAGTGATTTTATTTCTTTTAATAGCTTTTCTTGACTTGCCATGTTTACAGTACGAAGTGTTGATTTGAAATAATGATATTTAGTGTAGCATAACGTATTTATCAAACCCTATTCTATATCGTCCGTCTTTTATGGCTTGTTTTTTCATAATGACCAAAAATCCATACTTTTCTGCCCATGCTTTTCCACAAATTTGTTTAAACTTGTCAAATGTCATATCAGCATTTACATGATCGTTATTTACGTGTTTCAGGTTGGTTTCAACTTGGTTGAACAAAATTATAACATTTGCATTATCTCTTATAAACTGCTTTGGAATTTTACTGTATGTTTGTCCTATATATATGCTGTCAATATTATTATGTCTTCCCATGGCGAAATAGTTCCTAATAGTATCATGATTTTCACATGAAACGTCATCGAATAGAAATACTGAATATGGTTTAGCTTGGTTTGGTTGCAAAACTTTATCACTGGCGTTAAATTTATAAAAGTTAACACCTGACACCTTCGATATGATTTTTTCCAACAATTGATACTTTGGCTGATGTAGTGACTTTGAAAACAATTATAAGTTATTAAACCTCAATCCTTTAGGATTTGTAATCAAATTAAATACGACATTAGTTTTTCCACAGTTTGAAGGACCACTTATAACACATCCGACTACATCCACTACAATGTAAACATTTAACGTTCATTTGTCCGAGATTTGACTATCACAACGGTGGTACTACCACTACCCAAAATCCCCATCAAATGTTCAATTGAGAGGTTGATGCAAGCGGTCATGTTCGTGTTCCCTCCAGCCACTCACAGTTCTTCGTCCAGAAAGTTAACCAAACAACAGAAAACACTATAAAGGAATTGGAATTTTGATTCACATTGTAAATTACATGATAATATGGTAATGTAACGGATAACTGCCCTGTGAATAATCACTTTTAAACATTCACTTCATCACATTGAACTGTAACTACATGATAATCAGTAAAATACGATGTAAGGTAAATCAATTGAACCATAGACAAAAAGAATAACTTTATCACTGGCGTTAAATTTATAAAAGTTAACACCTGACACCTTCGATATGATTTTTTCCAACAATTGATACTTTGGCTGATGTAGTGACTTTGAAAAAATGTATAAGTTATTAAACCTCAGTCCTTTAGGATTTGTAATCAAATTAAATACGACATTAGTTTTTCCACAGTTTGAAGGACCACTTATAATACATCTGACTGTGTTTGGAAGTAAACTACCATGTTTGCCAGTGTTGATTGTGTCGTTATCAACAGTGTAATCATCAATATTACTAATGTGGAATTGATCTTTATGATGAACAATCTCCATCTTATTCAAAATCCAATGATACAATGAGCTGTTCCCGTTAAATTAGGTCTTTTATAGGTATCCAAGAATCTTCTGTTTTGTTCAAACCTAGCCATCGTACTTTAACTTGGTCTTTTTTCCTTTGTAACACTTTTTCAACAAGATATACATCACCTACTATAGACTTCAATAGTTCATGTCCGTAGAACGCACCTAGTAACCTTTTTGTTTTTTGGCTAAAATCTCGACAACCGTTGGTGGATAATAAAATTGGTTGTATACCAAATGAAAAATCATTTAACTTACAACAAAATGACAGCTACACTCTTATTTTATTTCCAATGTTTACCGAGTTGTAGAACTTTAGAGTATGGAGTATTTTCTCAAACTGTCAGGGTGCGAACAACGGTGCAAACTAAAGTAAGTTATAAGTTAGACAGATTGAGAAAAAATGCCATATTTTGGCACCCTATAGCTCGGTAACCTTTAGGAATAATATAACTTAAAAGTGTAAATTTAATTTTTCTTGGAAATTTCAAAATCTTACATTTGGTAGCCTATGAAAGATTTTGTCACTTTTAGCTAACTTATGACAGATGGTTCTTGAGATTTTAGCCAAAAACACATAACTAACATAATGTACCCTGTTTCGCTAATTGCCACTAGAGCTCACCTTATATTTATGGGGACTTTTAGCCGAAAAAATTGTATCTGATCAGACATGGCCGAAGACAACCTGAAAACAACACTGTATGTTGGAAACCTCAGTGCTTCAGTTACATTTTTGTTTTTCTTTCCGCAGTTATATAAAATCAATGGTTATTTATAAAAGATCAAGTCTATTTGCATTTATAGACTATTATGACCATGAAACGGCAGCTTCAACTCTGGCTGCGTTGAATGGAACAATACTGCAAGGGAGAAAAATGAAGGTGGAGTGGGCCAGTGACAATGCCCGTCGAAAAGACTATGTTATATTTGTCGGAGATCTGTGCTCAACAATCGATGCTGTTAAGTTGAGAGAAGCGTTTGCTACGTTTGGTGAAATCTCGGATTGTAGAATAATAGTGGACCTTGAAACACTCAAGTCAAGGTACTATGGGTTTGTCTACTTTATTAAAAACCATTAAACCTACAACAAAATGACAGCTACACTCTTATTTTATTTCCAATGTTTACCGAGTTGTAGAACTTTAGAGTATGGAGTATTTTCTCAAACTGTCAGGGTGCGAACAACGGTGCAAACTAAAGTAAGTTATAAGTTAGACAGATTGGGGAAAATGCCATATTTTGGCACCCTATAGCTCGGTAACCTTTAGGAATAATATAACTCAAAAGTGTAAATTTAATTTTTCTTGGAAATTTCAAAATCTTTCATTTGGTAGCCTATGAAAAATTTTGTCACTTTTAGCTAACTTATGACAGACGGTTCTTGAGATTTTAGCCAAAAACACATAACTAACATAATGTACCCTGTTTCGCTAATTGCCACTAGAGCTCACCTTATATTTATGGGGACTTTTAGCTGAAAAAATTTATCTGATCAGACATGGCCGAAGACAACCTGAAAACAACACTGTATGTTGGAAACCTCAGTGCTTCAGTTACAGAGGAACAGTTACATTTTTGTTTTTCTTTCCGCAGTTATATAAAATCAATGGTTATTTATAAAAAATCAAGTCTATTCGCATTTATAGACTATTATGACCATGAAGGGGCAACTTCAACTCTGGCTGCGTTGAATGGAACAATACTGCTAGGGAGAAAAATGAAGGTAGAGTGGGCCAGTGAATAGCCCGTCGAAAAGACTATGTTATATTTGTCGGAGATCTGTGCTCAACAATCGATGCTGTTAAGTTGAGAGAAGCGTTTGCTACGTTTGGTGAAATCTCGGATTGTAGAATAATAGTGGACCTTGGAACACTCAAGTCAAGGTACTATGGGTTTGTCTACTTTATTGAAAAAGCAGAAGCTCAAAAAGCTATTACTGAAATGAACAGCCAGTGTTTAGGAAGTATTATGCTTTATTCTTTTTAATACTAGTTTAGCATTTTTAAACTTTCCAAGAAGAAATACAACTGTAAAAGGAATAAATGATTTGTATCAAGCAGATTTGATTGAAATACGGATATATAGTAAAATAAATCAAGGACATCATTTTATACTTACAGTGATTAACTGTTTTAAGGGTTTTTCAGAGTTAATGAAAAATACAACATAAACCACTTCTCAACCAAATCTGGAAGTAAAGCGGCCATGGTTGAAAGATTTAATAGAACGTTAAAAGGAGCAATGTATAAAATGTTTTCAAACAGAGGAACCTACTTATGGATTGATATTTTACCAAAGTTAATAAGTGATTACAACAGGTTTCACAGAACGATTTGGATGATGCCAAATGAAGTAAACAGTAAAAGTGCTTAACTAGTATTACAAAGAATAAAGCACAATACTTCCTAAACACTGGCCGTTCATTTCAGTAATAGCTTTTTGAGCATCTGCTTTTTCAATAAACTAAACAAAGCCATAGTACCTTGACTTGAGTGTTTCAAGGTCCACTATTGTTCTACAATCCGAGATTTTACCAAACGTAGCAAACGCTTCTCTCAACTTAACAGCATCAATTGTTGAGCACAGATCTCCGACAAATATAACATAGTCTTTTCGACGGGCATTGTCACTGGCCCACTCCACCTTCATTTTTCTCCCTAGCAGTATTGTTCCATTCAACGCAGCCAGAGTTGAAGCTGTCCCTTCATGGTCATAATAGTCTATAAATGCAAATAGACTTGAGCTTTTATAAATAACCATTGATTTTATATAACTGCGGAAAGAAAAACAAAAATGTAACTGTTCCACTGTAACTGAAGCACTGAGGTTTCCAACATACAGTGTTGTTTTCAGGTTGTCTTCGGCCATGTCTGATCAGATAAAATGTTTTCGGCTAAAAGTCCCCATACATATAAGGTAAGCTCTAGTGGCAATTAGCGAAACAGGGTACATTATGTTACATTATGTTAGTTATGTGTTTTTGGCTAAAATCTCAAGAACCGTCTGTCATAAGTTAGCTAAAAGTGACAAAATCTTTCATAGGCTACCAAATGAAAGATTTTGAAATTTCCAAGAAAAATTAAATTTACACTTTTAAGTTATATTATTCCTAATGGTTACCGAGCTATAGGGTGCCAAAATATGGAATTTTTTCTCAATCTGTCTAACTTATAACTTACTTTAGTTTGCACCGTTGTTCGCACCCTGACAGTTTGAGAAAATACGCCATTCTCTAAAGTTCTACAACTCGGTAAATATTGGGAATAAAATAAGAGTGTAACTGTCATTTTTGTTGTAAGTTTAATGATTTTTCATTTGGTATACAACCAATTTTATTATCCGCCAACGGTTGTCGAGATTTTGGCCAAAAACCAAAAAGGTTACAAGGTGCGTTCTACGGAAATGAACTATTGAAGTTTATAGTAGGTGATGTATATCTTGTTGAAAAAGCGTTACAAAGGAAAAAAGACCAAGTTAAAGTACGTTGGCTAGGTTTTAACAAAACAGAAGATTCTTTGATTTATTTGCTTTTAATTAGGTAAAAGACCTAATTTAACGGGAACAGCTCATTGTACCATTGGATTTTGAATAAGATGATTTGTTCTTCATAAAGATCAATTCAACATTAGTAATATTGATGATTACACTGTTGATAACGACACAATCAACACTGGCAAACATGGTAGTTTACTTCCAAACACAGTCAGATGTATTATAAGTGGTCCTTCAAACTGTGGAAAAACTAATGTCGTATTTAATTTGATTACAAATCCTAAAGGACTGAGGTTTAATAACTTATACATTTTTTCAAAGTCACTACATCAGCCAAAGTATCAATTGTTGGAAAAAATCATATCGAAGGTGTCAGGTGTTAACTTTTATAAATTTAACGCCAGTGATAAAGTTATTCTTTTTGTCTACGGTTAAATTTATTTACCTTACATCGTATTTTACTGATTATCATGTAGTTACAGTTCAATGTGATGAAGTGAATGTTTAAAAGTGATTATTCACAGGGCAGTTATCCGTTACATTACCACATTATCATGTAATTTACAATTTGAATCTAAATTCCAATTCCTTTATAGTGTTTTCTGTTGTTTGGTTAACTTTCTGGACGAAGAACTGTGAGTGGCTGGAGGGAACACGAACATGACCGCTTGCATCAACCTCTCAATTGAACATTTGATGGGGATTTTGGGTAGTGGTACTACCACCGTTGTGATAGTCAAATCGCGGACAAATGAACGTTAAATGTTTACATTGTAGTGGCTTACATATTTTTAAGCAAGAAAAAACTGGCCGAGACAGTTACGTTTGTAGGCTACTCTTTTTTGCCATGAATGAAAGGTTCGTTTACCTCATTTTTGCAGTTTTGTCTGTACATTGTTTAGAATTCTATATTTTTTAATTATTTTTACCTTTTATACATTAATAAGCCGAAACAAGTCTTATCTCAATTTCTGTCTGTCTGTCACAGAAAAAACTCTAATTTTATTTATATAGATTATTATGGCTTAAAAGACTGAGTGCAATCACAAGTAAGGTGCAGAGGAAACATGCATATGGGACAATTATGCCCTTTCAGCTCTTAGTATAGGTATCGGAAGTTAACTATGATATGTTTAATTGATGTCAGTGTAAGTTAGTGAATTTGTATTATTATTTAGCTTTACTCTGTCATAGGATAATTTTTTATCAATACTGACCTCAAAAATAGGTAGGGATTTACATGGTATATACACTACTAAGTCAGTATATCTTTAAAATGTAAATCATATACCGGTGCTTGTACGAGTCCGTGAAAATTACGCACTGTGATAAGTAACCAAATGAGTTATCGCCATTTGTCTGGATTAAAATAAAGATAACCTTAAAAATATTACTAATAACATTACTTTTGTTATGCATATTTTGGGCAATGTGTTAATAGTTATGATTTAAGATTATTTTGTTATTTTTTTATTTGTCGGGGAGAAATTTACCCTACACTCCATGGATCTGCCACTGGTTATCAACCTCTTGGTAGGATGAATGGCCAGGGGAGTCCAGCAAGGAGAGAGTGCAGCAGAGTCAGGTTTCGAATCTAGTCTCAGTCAGGTCTTGTAATCAACTATAGAGGAATTCACCTGTCCGTGGTAGTGGTGGGCGTTATATAACGTAATAGGATAAATAACACTAAGTTATTACTGATTATTTACCTATTACTTTGGTAAAAGGTTACCGTGAATACCCTATTATTTTTGTAACATTTTATGAACCGTTAGAACGAGCTAGTGAAATAACGCTGACCATATAATCCTAATAATTAATAGCAAGCGCTTTGTTTAGGCAATCGTTTCAGGGAATCATATTATTTTGCAACCTAGCCTGAAGTGGTGGTTCGAACAAGTGAAATAACGCTGACCATGTAATCCTATTAATTAACAGTAACGATGTGGCGACCAATAAACGTAATGGACGGGGAAATAATAGGTGACAAAAATAAAACATGTTATTTCACCTATTACCAAAAATTAAGGAACGTTCCTGACTATTACTGAAAAGTAACGGTATTTCCCATTTCTAGTCTGTGTATCAGAGGCTTGGTGGACAGCTCAGATTCAAGTTCACAGAATAGTGGATCTTTGTACACCTCTAATCAGGCATTTCGTTACATTTGCATATTGTTACTGATTGTGTACATTGACACCTTGTTTAGAAATTATATAAGTTTTTAATTTCATAAGGCTAAACGGGAAGTGATATGACCAAAGCCATTTAGCAGACCACTTCATAGTCATAACATACAAATGGAATGTGCGTGTTGGCTTGTATGTTCAATTGATGACTACTTGGTCCACAATCCACATCTGGCAACCAATAATACAGAAAGTAAACGTCTCACAACAATTGAAACATATATTTACACTTTTACTGATAAAACCAAAACGGCAATACATTATTGTAAGAATAATAATTATATTGAACAAAATAACAATGAATTTAAATGAATTTAGCCAATACATTATATTGACATAATCCAAAAGAAACCAGTTTGCTTCATTCAACTAGTTGAAGTCATAATCTCTTAGAAAAATTGTGTCATAAGAGCGTTAAGATATTAACACACATTGTGGTTTAAAGTGTTATGCACCTCTGTTTATGTTGTGTCGTAAGCTAACCTGTTGTGGAGGGAGTTTAAAAAATTAAATTTACAAGTAAGCCTACCTAAACGGACAAAAGAATATACATGATTATGATTAATAATTCGAATTAAAAAAAACAATGGTTAATAAAGTAGTGATTGCCGTAGTTTGGCTTTTTTCAGTTCTGTCAGGTATACCTGCTATAAAATGTGATAGGATGTGAATGAATAGTAAAATTATTACGTGTTATTACTCTCTGTAAGTTATATAGATTTTTTTCAAAACTGTCCTTGCGAGAACTTGTTTATTATTAAACTTAGAAACAAAATATTCCAATTCATAAGGGCTGTTAATAGATTCTTACTGATCAAAATAATAATGTTACAATACCTGCAGACTGCCTATAGTGGTCCTTTAATATCCAACAGGATTACGCGTTTCGGTATATCGTTATACCCTCATCAGATCCTATATACAAAACTTAAAGTTTTTTCGACTCGTCACAGTTTTAAAACACAGTTACAAAACATTAATCACGAAATTAGTATATTACGTTACTAGTCCTGAAAATAAGTGTTTACCGGACGAGTGTGGTCGTTCCCGTGCGAGACGAAGTCGAGTACGGGATTACCATACGAGTCCGGTACACACATTTTGGACGAGTTACGTACGATAGTTTACGCCATACTACTAAATCTGTACAAATCCTAATATATTTTCACCGACATGCCACAGAACATGGACTAAAAATCACTAGTCATAACCTCTAAGAGAGGTTATGTTTTTGTTTATAACCATTCATTGCTACCTAAATATAGTACCTATAATCAGCTGATTGGTGTCCGGCAAAACTCATTACAGTACAGTAGTACGCAATGAAACCCCATTTGAATAAGCTGGATCATCTTCAAATGGTCCAAAGTCGTTTGGTCCACAGTTTATATTGCCGTTCGTTTGGTCCAAAATCGTTTGGTCCAACAGTTAAAAACTCGTTCGTTTGGTCCAAAATCGTTTTATCCAATTTCATTTGGTCCAAAGTCGTTTGGTCCACAGTTTATATTGCCGTTCGTTTGGTCCAAAATCGTTTGGTCCAACAGTTATAAACTCGTTCGTTTGGTCCAAAATCGTTTGGTCCAACAGTTAAAAACACGTTCGTTTGGTCCAAAATCGTTTGGTCCAAAAGTACAGGCCAAACTAGAAGTAAAATGTTGCATTGTAGAGTAAACTTATGAAATATACTGTACGTTTATATTACCGTTCATTTGGTCCAAAATCGTTTGGTCCAACAGTTGTAAAACAGTTCGTTTGGTCCAAAATCGTTTGGTCCAACACATTAATACGAGTTCGTTTGGTCCAAAGTATAAACTATTGCGTCCCTCACATTGAAGGCGTTCAAATATCCGCCGTCGTATACAATAATAATATTAATACAATTTTTGCTTTAAACATGTTGACTTTCTATGTTTTTAACGTTAAAGACGCCATGTTTTGTTGTATTCAAACCACTAAAGCGTACATAAACAAACTTAAAGCTCAATAGTGTATCATACGGTTGGAAATCTTATAAATTAACAGTTTTTATCACATTTGGC